ACAACGCAATAAAGACGCTGTACATAGCGGACTAGAACTACTCACGTCACTCAATGAGGTGAACTTTTGCCTGGTGGCACCGTTTACAAGACAAAGGTCGCGACATTAAAGAATGCGGTTGCGTTATTTGCTATTGTCAGGAGCGCATAATGACAAATGTCATAATGACAAATGTCATCATGACAAATGACATAATGACATGTGACAATGACATGTGACATGTGATGTACTGTGATGTGATGTGATGTAATGTAATGTGATGTGATGTAATGTGATGTGATGTGACATGTGATGTAATGACATGTGACAATGACATAATGACATGACATAATGACATGTCATAATGACAAATGTCATCATGACAAATGACATAATGACATGTGACAATGACATGTGACATGTGATGTAATGTGATGTGATGTGATGTGATGTAATGTGATGTGATGTAATGTGATGTGATGTGACATGTGATGTAATGACATGTGACAATGACATAATGACATGACATAATGACATGTCATAATGACAAATGTCATCATGACAAATGTCATAATGACAATTTGTCATTATACGCTCCTGATATTGTATATACTATAACAGCACAAACTAGTGGTAATTTCCATACTGGAGTAATGAGTAATATTTCTGCTAATAGTCGAGACCTAATTTGTTTACACTTTTTTTATTCTCAGATTTACTTGAGAAATGATAATTTTAATACTGCGTGTATTAATCATATCAAGATTTTAGCTATTCGTGACATACTATACGACCTGTTTGTGGTTATGATTGATATCTTGCAGAGACATGGCGTACACGTTTACGATTAGGAATCGTAGCAGCCTAACATGAAGAAAGCGAGCGAAAATGTTAAAAGCTGTCACTTCTAATTACGTAAAACCGACGAGCATGCCCTGCCCTTGCACTCTCTCGTCCGTCTGCATCAGTCACGTGACCGTCAATGGCCGCCGCGTGAACGCTGCGTGACTGCATGATCTACGTTTTTCATTTAGTAAAATTATAATCTTGTTTGCCGGCTTTACCGCTTGTATATATATATATATATATATACTATATACATATATATGTATATATGTATATCATTTTTAGATGGATAATGGTAAAAGGAGAGGCCAAGGCTTTAGGCGTTTTGCTCGTATTACACCCTGAAAAACATCAGAAACTGCAGCATGTATTTAGTAGGGGAGCTAGGATGTCCTTTTCTTCCCGTCCCTCAGAATAGATACAGCTCCAACAAAAGTACTGGTAGTGAATGGGTGTACTCACCTACCTAGCTCCTCGTCAAACACTTGGTAAAGGCTGGATACCTTTTCCTTGTAACGCCAAGATATATTTCTCGGCTCAAACGGGGCCACGAGTTCTGCAACAGAGTATGTAGGTTGGTCGAGGTTTTATAAGTATAAAAATAGAAAAGTACAAGTGTAAAGATAGTAAAGTGTAAGTGTAAGGGTGGTAAAGTGTAAGTGTAAAATTGGTAAAGTGTAAGTGTAAGGGTGGTAAAGTGTAGTAGTGTACTAAGTATGATAAATGTGTAAGTGTAAGGGTGGTAAAGTGTAAGTGTAAAATTGGTAAAGTGTAAGTGTAAGGGTGGTAAAGTGTAAGTGTAAAATTGGTAAAGTGTAAGTGTAAGGGTGGTAAAGGTATGTGGTGGCAGTCCCGTACCCAATGGGGGTTCTAGGGGTTCCGGAACCCCCCACCCAACCATCAAAAAATAAATAAATGCAGTCGACCTCGCCTAAGTCGAATCCAACGGGACTGGAGAAAAAACTTAGACTTTTAGTTTCATTCTATTTTCCTATCGCACATTCCGTACAACTATATGGTCTGGCCACAGCGAGTGCTGTGAATGCGTGATCCGGTGGTTTCTGCTCACCGGTCTATAGTAGTTTGTAATAGTAATAGTATATATCAAGAGCGTATTAAAAAGGCCTTCTTAATACGCTCTTGTATAATATATAATATAATAATATATATATATATTTATATATATAATATATATATATATATATATAATATATATATTATATATATATATTATATATATATACATATATATATGAGGTCACTCTTATCTAGGCGCTGTATCAGCACGCGAGTGAACGTGAATCTAGCTCTATTGCATTGAACGGATCTGACTGGGCAGCAGCTCAGCAAGGAGTATAGTAGACGCGCTGCGTTCGTCTGATATATATTATATAGTATATATTCATAAGTATTATATTATCTATTATATATTATATTTATAGTATATTACAGGAGTTAATGAAGAACACTTGTCTTCATTAACTCCTGATATTAGATTATGACTTAAAATTATATATAACATTTCCAGCCGCCCGTATCAGGGGTGCAGTACGACACGTCCGGAGGTCCGAACCAGCAGACTCGCAGCGTCCTACATTATATAGAAGTATATATATATTATACGTGCCTCTGGAGACTCCTATAGAATATATAGGTATATTTTTTTTTTTTATGATGTAGGAGTGCGAGTCTGCTGGTTCGGTGTCTGGCCCCGATACGGGCGGCCGAATGTTTATGGGATGCGTGCTCGTGAGGGTTCTCCGACATTACGGAGCGGACTAGTGAATGGTTTATACCGCTGCGTCCTGGTATGCACAGCCTCTCGGCAGCTTCGATAATATAAGTAAAGCGGAGGAGGAAAAACATTCCGATAACAGATGTTCAATTATAGATGGCGCGGTACGTATTTTGGCTTTCGGCTGATAGCGGCGGAATTTCTACCGCGCGGAGTGATACAGTATAGGAGTAGCCGATGAACCACGCGGATTGATATATCTACTATAGCTTCCCCTGCGAAGGAAGGAATTTTCTCGTTAAACATGCGTTTATATATTATGTTATGCAGGCACGTTAGTTATCGAGCAAAGATGGCGTTCGCTCTGTCGGTTTAGAAGCCCCCATTTTGTTGTGGAGTTTACTCGTGGGTCCGATAAACTGTTCCGAGAATCTCACATGATTTTAATTAATTATGTTCTTCTCCGATTAGAACGCCGAAGAACATTTTGTGTACTCCTAAACATAAACGTGGAATGGTCGTTCTGCAATTAGCCCATGGGTCTGGTATTCAGAGGTGCTAAATAAACCACAGGCACTTGAAGCGTTTCAATAAAATATATACGCAGGGGTCGTGTGCTGTGCACGGCGACAGTTAAATATATCTATTTGACTGTCGCCGCGCACATCACACGACTCCTGCGTATATATTTTATTGAAACGCTTCAAGTGCCTGTGAAATAAACCATCAAATCTCTCATGGCAACTCGCATTCTTCTCAGCACGGCCGTTGAAGTAAAATTATGCTCTATACTCGCATAAACGTGTACTGAGAGCAGCAATAAATAACTTGCCGCTGTCAATAAATCTTAACCATCTTTTGGCACTCACCCACTAATCTTACTTTTTGCTCATTGCTCGCTATATGCATCGCGATATAAGTTATCCGGACGACTGGATGAAGGCATAAGAATAATAAGCACTTGGCACTGGGCGAAACCCGGCGGAAGTGCTGGAATTTGACAGGCGTAGTCAAACGATAACCCATCGTGCTAATCGCTTCGCTACGGAAAGCGCGCACGCTCCGTCAACCATAGAAAATTAACTATAGTTTTTAGCATTTCGGTTATCTTCATCGGTATTGTAAGAAGCGAAAGAGCTATACAGAGCGCGCGAGAAAGACAAGTGTGTGTTCGTTAGAGAGTGAGAACGAAAGAAAGAAAAAAAGCAAGCAAGGAGGTAAGAAAGAAAAAAGAAAGATAAAAGAAAAGGAACGCGAGATAAAGAGAGCATGGAAGAGATAGGAAATAAGGCAAAGAGTGAAAAAGGCCGATGTAGGGGAAAGGAGCACAAGTTAAGTTAACGGTATAAGTCATTATCATCATCTCCATCAACGTCAACATTGATGGACACATTCCGAGCTAATTCGGTCTATACTATGTTTATATTGTATTCTCTCTCGCTCTCTCTCTCTCTCTCTCTCTCTCTCTCTCTCTCTCTCTC